ACGCATAATACAAGATGGTCAAGTGCCGATCGAAGACACGTAGTTTGTAATAGGAGATTGTTCATTGTAAGAAGAAAAGACGAGAGAAAAAACAAAGTTCGGTATGCCCTCACGATCGACTATTTAACATTCGATTGACGTGCAGGCGTCTCTCACACTTTCATTCCCCTTTTATCTCTACGATTGTTGCAATTGATATTCCATGTCTGTGCCTACCAACTTGGAGAGCGATTGATAATGCAATAGTGGATGTGGTTGGTGAGACGACGACGGTGACGATATTCGTTCGACGACGACAATGCAAACATCTTGGCACAATACGACCTCAGATTCTCTCTCTTGTCAAAAAATTTCAAGAAACTAAACAAATTTAATCGTTTGGTATCGGATTCATTGTATTCTCTATTAAATTTCAATGTAAATAAAATTATAAATTAAATATCTATACTTATATTAATTATCATCTGAAAATAGCTTCATTAGAAACATTCTTTCTGAAATGAAACAATTTTATTTCACACTTACATTTCCTACGTTACATCGTTGCAACTGTATAGCATATATGTATATTCTTATAATTAATAACACACACGCGTGACCCAATCGTGTACCTCTTCTTAGATACACACGTTCAACTTCCTCTTTTGCAAATTTTTTGTAACATATAACTACATAAAAGTTCCGCGACATTTTTTACAAGTCGATCGCTTTGGAAAAAAATGTTATAGTTAATTGTTGAGTCTATATGGCGAGTGTATAGGGGAGTCAATTTATAGTTTATCATATTTTAAAAATACAAACGACGTCATGGAAATGTTCAATCAACTTGTATTCACGAAGGTGCTCTCTCTCTCTCTCTCTCTCTCTCTCTCTCTCTCTCTCTCTCTCTCACTCACTGCTTTGTCCCCTTCGCGCATTTCATATGAATAACACATTTAGCGTATATAAATACTTACTCATTGACAGAATAGTAATGACGATAGATAACGCTAATGTAATATCCATTTTTTCTCGTCCCGGCGTATCGAGTAACGATGAGCGTATTTACGCAAATTATATTCTTCCTTCAATACTATCTCGAATAACGATTTGTCACAATTCGTTCTCGCGTTACATTCGATTGCATGCGCGTCTTCCTCGAAGGATTTGTCTCTTGGCGATCCATCCTAGGGCTATATAGTCTCATCCCCACTCAGACAACTTGCAATCGTATCCAGCAGGGGACTGATGCGAGGGAGAGGCTAAATGCATTTTCATTTTTCTCCCTGCTTCCTATGAATCGCGGATCGAACCCCGCTGCGAGGGTTTCAAGCTTCGTAGATTTATATGTATAGCGCTCATCTGACCCGGTGGTACAGTGCCCCACAGAGTCCTGCCTAAAACTAGCGCCAGAATGAATCAAACTCTTGGCAACATCTGCATAAACTGTACGCTTGTTTGCTACATAGAACGTACACAATCTTGACGGTAGGTTGTCACGAATGAAAAATGTGAGGGTAAGAGATATTTATGTGATATTACGCACGCACGCACGCGCATATAGAGTGTGTGTGTGTGTGTGTAAAATTAAAAAAGCTCAAACGGCTAGTTTGAAAGTAGAGAAAAATTCATAGGTGTAACTCAATTGAAGTGAGCCTTGACCGTCTTGACGCAAGAGTACGAAAAATTATAAGTTAACTTTCATCTTTTGTGTGAATACTCTTTTTCTGATTCTGCTAGAAGAATTGAAAGAAATACAACCAGAGAATTGAAAATATTTCTATTCTCTTGATTCTGATATTAAAGATTGTAAAATACGAATTAAATAAAGCCGTCAAGGAAATCTATAATCTCGCATCTTTGTTACCATTATCGCGGATGGATAAGAAATTCACTAAATAAATTGTTTTAACTTGAATGATAATAACTGATAATTGCTAGAGAAACACATACGTACATAACGGAAGTATACTGATAGATATGTTAAACCGGGAACAAATATTTTATATAAAATTATATATACAATTTTATATATTTCTATATAAATGGACATATTTTATGTAAGATGCGCATGATATATCATTTTATCCGTATATTATCTTCATCGAATATTAAAAAAAGATAAAATGATACATCATGTGCACCATGCGTGAAATGGAATGGAACTCATATAATTATGTGTAATTCTAGATATATAATCACATATATAATTTTATAAATAATTTAATATAATTTTATATA